CTTTTTTTGATAAATAATAAATTTATCCATTTGTTTATTTGTTTTAGTAGATTCAAATAGATTTTATTAGAACAAAAATGATACACTACAGCAAATTTCAGAAAATCAATAATGCAAAATCACGCGTAATAAGTATATATAGCTTGTAGCATAGGGTCCTGTAGAATATGCATGCAAAATTTTTGTGGTTTCTGATTTTTGCTGTCATTTATTTAAAGGAAATTCAATTATTTTTTTGAAAAAAAATTTAATTGTGACGAAAGTTACACGTATATATTACATTTGATCAACCAATAAAAATCATAAATCACATGATATGTTCGTACAATGTATATACTAAAAAAATTTTAAGCTCATACGTACGTACGTGTACGATACGTGCATGTGTACGTGTACGATTCCCAACCCTGATCACATCATCTACTCCTACTACCAAAAATTTTTTAAGTTTACCTGATGAGGTCATTCTTATGATATCTGAATTTTTAGATATTTATATGATAATTGCGCTAGGTAAAACTACAAGTAGACTAAATACATTAATGAATGGCGATACGATATGGAAAATAAAATTCGATAATGATGATATGTTCTCGATAAACATGACATGACATTGAGTACGTATATCCAAAAATACAGAAGTCATTTCGTCATGAAAAATTATGACGCAATGGCATCTTTGCTGTCAGCAGAATTCCAAAAAAATTTTCATGATATGACAATCATTAGTGACGATTTTGGTAATTTTTATTATTATATAATTTATTTTGTTGTGAATATTATTACTATTATTAATTAAGATACTTTTTTTTAAATAAGTAAAAATAGAAATTAATGAAGATATGATCCAATTTGTTGCAAAAAGTAGTTATTGGAGCGACCTAGATGGTAAAATAAAGTTGAATCCAACCCACACCGCAGATAATGTAATCATTTTTATTGATTTTTAATCATTTTTTAGAATATTCACATATCTAAAATATTTTTGTTTATTGTATAGGCTGAAAATAACAAAATAGAAATAAAGGTTACAAGACTAAAGACTAGTGCCGTAATCCAAAAAAGGAAAAAGTATGGTTGCAAAAGTGGTCACAAAGGTAATTGCAACCACTTTTTATATGCCGTAAATACAATTACTACCATCATCATAATTTACGGCACTAGTCTTTATACAAGACCTGTTTCTAGTTTATTTCTAATTAAAGATTTGATAAAATTAATAATATTTTCACAACAACAAATCAAGATCTTTTTATCAAAAAAAAATCTATTAATAGAATTTAATAGTGGTGGCATTTGTAATGTCAGGTACTATATTACACCAGCTGAAGACGATTTTACTCCTTATTTGCATTATAATATCATGAAATAACAACAAATCAAGATCTTTTTATCAAAAAAAAATCTATTAATAGAATTTAATAGTGGAAGCATTTGTAATGTCAGGTACTAGATTACACCAGCTGAAGACGATTTTACTCCTTATTTGCATTATAATATCATGAAATAATTGTAAATTGTGTATTGGTTAATAAAAAATCATCATAATTATTGCTATTAATATTCACTTTGTCTGGTTTTGTTGCAGTCTGCCCCATTTCTATTATTAAATGTTACATCTAATAAACAAGAAATTTTGGAATGCCAGTTGGAATTTTGGAATGTATGGGAATTTTGGAGTGCCAATTTTTATATTCAGTAGCGTTTAACAAACAATAAGAATGTTTTTATTGTTATTTTATTATTATTTATTATTTATTATTTATTATTATCATTTATTTTGATGACTCTTGTGGTGTTAACACCATTTGAAGAACATTGCTTATTTTACTAGCTTTTTGATATATAGTGGGTGCAATATATGATCTCACACCCTTAAGACTTTTATGACCAGAGATTGTCATCAACACCACTTTGATATAACCAATTTAGACTAGTAGCATGACCAGAATGGTTGACTATTTTTCTTCCATTTAAATTTATACCAGCATCGAAACATATTGTCTTCATGTAATTCTTGATTTTCTCAGTTCCAATTTTATGATCAAGATACCATACATCATCATTGATTGCTAAAATCATAAAATTTATTAGATGTATTACTGTATTAGTTTTGAAAAACTAACCATCATGGAAAGTGAAATATAAATAAAAAAACTAGCCTGAATTGGATGAATTAACTTGTAAATAAAACTCTTTTGTAATACATGATGTTGGTCATTTACTCAAATAAGATATAATGTCATCATAAGCTCCTTGATGTTCTTTATCACATGGACATGGGATATTTAGTGATTCATTATTACCATCAAGACCACCTTGATCATTTTTTTGGTGAAAACAACCATATCATCATGTATATCAAACTGACATTTTAACATTTTTGTATGTTCACCACCACGAGGACTAAATACTAAACAGACCCATATAAATACTCTCCTAGAAAGACCTTCGGGTGTATCTTTTGATGTTGATGGGTGATTCAGAATTTGTTTGATTTCATTTGGTGAAAGTGTGTCAGCCTTCTTTGTAGAAATCTTACCCTGTTTCTTAAGATCATGTAGCTTTCCATTTAAAGTTTTATATAAGTCTGGATAATTTTGCTTGCATGAATTTCCATTTAAGGTAATTTGATCTTTAATTACACAATTTTTTAATGACAAATATTCTTCACTATCATCTCTTCGCACACCAACAACAAACTCACATAATTGTTTTTCTAATATTTTTTTGTCATTAACCAATTCAATTGGAATTCCATTATGATGTTTTTCTCTATAGTTAAAACCTTAACCCAGAATTCAGTATTTTTTTTTTGTAGTTAATGGTATACCAGCTTCTTGAATGTCTTTTATTTGTTGATCGGTTGGAAGAAATGACATGTCAAAGTTGGGTGGTATTTGTTTCTATGG